CTGTCATTGACCACTGTTTAGTTCTTCACGTTATATACCAGCAGATATAATAAAAATACTTAGTATTCACCCTAGTGAAGATAAACTGTCATTGACCACTGTTTAGTTCTTCACGTTATATACCAGCAGATATAATAAATAAACTTAGTATTCACCCTAGTGAAGATAAACTGTCATTGGTCACTATTTGGTTCTTCACATTATATACCAGCAGATATAATAAATAAACTTAGTATTCACCCTAGTGAAGATAAACTGTCATTGGCCACTATTTAGTTCTTCACATTACATACCAGCAGATATAATAAATAAACTTAATATTCACCCTAGTTGCATAAGACAGTTTATCTTCGCTTCACCTGTCCAGTGTATAGGTTTTTCTCATAGCGACTATAAAGCACGTTCACACCAACAATATGTTTGATACTTTTCACTCAAATATAGATTCAGCTTATCTTTCTTTGGTTAACTTGTGTTCAGGGTTAATGGAATTCTCTGAAATTAGTATAACCCAATAACACAGGTTGAGTAAAGTATAGATTGAACTGAACCTCCCTTCAACAAAGAGTTCGAGATTAAACAATTTTCTGAATACTGAGTTTATATATTATCAATGCTACATTGATAATATGTAAATATAGGTTCACCGTGAGAGGCAACATAAAATGTAAATATAGGTTCACCGCGAGAGGCAACAGACAATGTAAATATAGGTTCACCGTGAGAGGCAACAGACAATGTAAATATAGGTTCACCGTGAGAGGCAACAGAAAATGTAAATATAGGTTCACCATGAGAACAACAGACAATGTAAATATAGGTTCACCGTGAGAGACAACAGACAATGTAAATATAGGTTCACCGTGAGAGACAACAGACAATGTAAATATAGGTTCACCGTGAGAGGCAACAGAAAATGTAAATATAGGTTCACCATGAGAAACAACAGACAATGTAAATATAGGTTCACCGTGAGAGACAACAGACAATGTAAATATAGGTTCACCGTGAGAGACAACAGACAATGTAAATATAGGTTCACCGTGAGAAACACCAGACAACTATAAACGGTACTTATTGTTATTATGGTCTATAAATCACATATGGTGATCTAAAGATCTGTATTTTGGGTAAAATCACAAGAAAATAGACAATCATTTTTAAGAAATACATATCTGTTAGTCACATATGGTTTTATAGTAAATACAAAATATTAGCATCTCGAACACACTTTATGTGCATCACGTAGCTGCCGGTGAGGCCTTTCGTCAGTACCGAATATCATCAAATCGACTGAGCGACACACAAAGTTATTTTTGTCACTAGTGTATCGTGTACTAAACACCTAATTGTGGTGAAATGCAGAATTCTTTTGATGTGGCATAAAGCGAGTTATTTTCTTCTTTTTTGTTTGTGATATTCGTTAACAGATTCTAATATTTTCAACTCACGATTAGTGTTTGTGTTATTAGTTTATTACTTTTTATATTTTATAATTTCTTTTCTTTC